TCAACTGTCAAATTTGACACATTTTTCGATGATCTCACCACGTGGCATGCATTGTCTCTCTTTGGATCTCAATATTTTCCCACTAGATGGCCAAGACCTAGTGTTTTTGCAGTATTTCGACACGCAAATGTATGATGTCACCATTTCAACCATCAATGAACACATGGAACTAAAACAAAGCTTAATATAAAGGAAAAGCTGGAGAGGTGACGGAATTACCTGCGATGTCGGAATATACCGCGTTTACCCTATGCTATCTGGAACCTAACCCCGTCCCCAGATGCTGTGAGCTAAAAGTTACGTAATTTAGCAAAGCTGCGGAGGCCACTCGCCAGCGGACGATAGAGTTTGGAACATAACTATGCTTTTTGAAACCTAACCCCGGATGTTGAGCTAAAAGCGATGGTCTGGTGGTGCACGGCAGGATGCATGTAGTTCCACTGGCGACCTGGGCTGGTTGGTCGCAGTCTGTTGTCCGCAAGTTACAGTTCGAGCTAAAGTCAGGGTATGAAGTGATGATTCGATGCAACGTTCAGTGGTGCATAACCATTACTCTCTGGGCTATTCGTTTCAGAATGTGGTGGCGTAAAGCTCCTAATATTTAAAGCAAGATGATGTCACTGGCTGGTTACCGACGGATGGCTCAATCCGCGGCTGATTGATGGTCATCCGAAAATATGCTAGGCGTTCCTTTTGGGAGCGCTGCCGTAGCCCAAAAATTTGACTCTTAAATCAGCCCAAGAGCCAATGCCAACCCTCTACATGCAATAGAAATAGTCAGCATAACACCTATGCAGCTGTTCTTACTTGCCTCATCTTGCCACACCAGCTTGAAAGTTGAAACAAGCAATGCCTCAGCCCACAAGCTGATACTTCGAACGGATTACGCCCAATAGCTCTTACAGACTTACACCAATGATTTAAGCCCATACCAACACTTATTACGAATGCCGTAAGTCACAGGGTCTGCAGACTGCACCAGACTGCCGTAAATGGGAATGGCCCCACACCGGACTGTCGCATCACCTTACCCACTTTGCAGGCGTAAGCCCAGCCCTGATGCTCACCAGCATCTTCTTCCTCCACACTTACCCCCTTCTCTCCAGTCTCCTCCTTTCCGCGAAAGGGTTAGGTTAGGTTAGGTTTGGTTAGAATTTTTCCGCAAGCTGGTACCGAAAGGAGGGGGAGCAGGGGGTAAGCATGGAGGTTTAGCCTCCTGCCTCCAGAAGAACGGACAGGCTGGAGAGGTAGCAGTGTACTGATAGCACTGTGGCGCAGGGCGTTCTTTATCGAAAGTGGGGAAGGGGCTAGGCTGCATGGAATAGAAATATTTTGGGGTTTAGCGTGTGGGTTACATCCATTGTTTTGGTGGCCTGCAGCTCTTTGGCTAGCTGGTTTACATCCATGAAGAGGTTTGGTCCCTGTGGTTTTCAGCAAGTAATCATGTTGACTAATTTGCTCTGCAGCATGCTTGCGCACGGGGAGAAGTATGAAAATTATGCTGGTATTGGGCAATGCTGGGCTATTTCAGTCGTCCTTTCCTAACAGGGCTGATTGGTGCACAAATTCAGTGGTGCACGGCTGCTTACCCGCTGAAGTCCAGGTGTTACAAGCGGAAGCGGTCAACGTGCGACTTCTTCTTCACCTAGGTACAACCCGCAACCGCCAAGGCGCCAACCACCACCACCAAATTTACGGCCGGACTCGTGGCCGGTGTCCAACTTCAGTGTACCTGGAATATCTCCCAAAGTACTGAACGTAGCTCGATGAAACTTTTGTACCATATCCATGAACCATGGACACCCCATTGAGTTATTTGAGCATTAACAACGACCTTGTCCACTGCAAGCTTCATATCAGCAGCCAAGCCAGCCATGTAGGCTGTAGCATTTCTTCTGTAGCTGTAAGCTTACAGGATTAGGCTTGTAGTTCTCACCATTTTAATAGGGTCAAGTGAATTCACTATAACAAAAGACTGTTAAAGACAGCATAAAAAACTTACTGAAACAGAAAGGAATATTTTAGTGATATTTTTTTATCTAGTGGCCATTTCCTGTTTTGCAGCAATGTTTGCCATTCTGTTTGGCATTGAAGTACTACAAAAATTCTGTCAATGAAGTTTCAAAGCCAACACCTGTCTGCTACTTTTTTTTTTCAAGCAGAATTTTTCAATATAGCGAATTTTTTTTTTTTTTTGCCACAGACCTCAAAAGAAGAACCTTTTCAAAATATCACTTTTCAATATTTTTTTCAGGGATTTTTTCCTAACTTCCTTGATGCTACTGTTTATTGCTACATAGATTGGAAAAATGTTGAGAGTTTATGCCACTAGTTTTAGTTTTTGCAATATTGCAATTAGTTTTGCTGCTAAATATTTTCACGCCATGGCAGAGGACTGCTCCAATTTACCCCACCCATCCCTTTTTACCCCGTTCGATGGTATATTTTATATCAAGGCCCCCACTCTTTCAAGCACCCTCAAGTGGGGTGACAGTTGACTTTGGCGTTCAGCCACACCTACTCCAGAAACAAAACAAAATAATAAAATGCAGCAAAACAAAATAATAAACGTTGGTGAAAGTCACCCCGGTGGCCAATGGCACCCCAATTACTTTAGCCAACATCTATTATTTTGTTTTGCTGCCATTTGTTTCTGTTGGTGTGGCTGAAATCACCCCACTTGACGGCATTAATCATCAGCTTAATCCCCAACTTTCAAGCATAAATTTTTGCAAAAATGTAAAGACCAAAACACCAGCTGAGGTGCAACATAAATGAGTGATGTCACAGCTGTAATATTTTAACTTAAGCCTCTGGCCTCTCCAATTTAAATAAGTCATCTCAAAATTCATGACTGTTATCATGTGATTTTAGCTAAAAGTAAGTTTCCCAATCCTGCCCAGGGGTTGGAATGAGTGGGTGCAGGTAGGGTGAATACTAATAATTTATGGTCTTATTTTCATTAGCAATCCAATTAGGTCCTTTGGTCAATAGAATTAATACACAAATACATATCTGGTGATTTAGAATGAAGCAAATATCTGCCAAAAATAGGAGAAAGTAAGGTTCAGTTCAAGACATATAAAGACAGAGACATCCAATAAATATATGTGTACCTGCTCATAATTTACCACTTCTAAATTCCACCTTTGCTTGGGGAAGCACATGGCTTCCAAGATAATGTTAGTCTCATGTTATGTAATCCAAGCCCAAAAGCAGTTTCATGTGGTCTCTCAAACATTGATTTCATTATTTAACTTTGGAGTGGAGGACTAGTTAACACGTTTTTCTTAGCTTAGCTTCGCGTTTGTTTGTTTGTTGTTAACATTGACAACAAAAATTAGCCCACTTCTGATTGTTCTAGAGATCTAAAATTCGGCATGCAGGCTATTTTCGCCTAACAATTTCAGATACAATCATAAAAACTAGTAATTAGAGACCGAAATTAGTTTAATTGAGTAAAGTATACGTATATATAGTATGACGTGCGGGCGCTCACGTTATAGACGAGCAGGCGCTGACGCTGTGTATCATCGATACGTACGTCTAGTCATACTTAATCAAGTCTTAATCGTTTTTCTTGTGGACTAAAAAGTAGAAAATAAAATACTTAAACAAACTTTTTAAAAAACCACGTTTTTCTTGTGGACTAAAAAGTAGAAAATAAATTATGGTTCGCCCCCAAAAAAACGTGGGTCGGGCTGTACGTTCACCATCAAATTTCCAAAATTTAAGTGTTGTGTGCTTTTCGCTTTAATCATAAATCTGTCCGACACACGTTTTCTTTGGGGCGAACCATTATTTATTTTCTACTTTTTAGTCCACAAGAAAAACGTGGTTTTTTAAAAAGTTTGTTTAAGTATTTTATTTTCCTTTGGTTTTCCTCTCTTCTTGAGTGCTTCCTGGGCCCCTGGCCATTATATATTTTCTGTTGAAAAATCTATGTATAACTCAGAAATGATAACTCTGTCATGACTGCCTATGTACTAAAGTGTATGCTGCTTGAAGAGCCATTCTCTCATTAGAAAATGATCTAACCTCATCTTACTATTTCCTGAAATTTCGTTTTAATTGAATGATGTTATGTTAAAGTTATATAGATTTTCTCTCCTTTTCCTTCTAACATTTGGAAATATCCCAATTATTCTTCAAGGTTTTAATGCATACACATTACACCAAAGCTTTTAAATTTATTTTTGTTGACAGGTAAAATAATTGTAATAAATTAAAATGGTTTCAAAGAAACCAAATAAAGCATTAGAACTTGAGAGCTCTGGTTCTGCTCCTAAAACAAAGAAGAAAAGGCAAGATGTAATTCCATCACCAAGAAAATTAAAGAGCCCCCCTGATAATAAGTCTTTAATTACTGAAAGAAATAATGCATCTTTATCCATTGATTCATCAAGTAAGAGGCTAAAAATATCTACTACAAAAGTTAAAGAGCGAAGGAAATCATTCAAGAATTTACTGGCTTCTAAATACCATTATACTTATTGTAAATATAACAGAGCTGAACTGAGGGCTGAGAATTTTGAGTATGATGACAAAATTTGGGATGCTCAGGTAGATGGAAGTGAACTTTATTTCCCAGTGTTCATTGCTGATAACTTAAAAGATAAGAAGCTGAAGACCCTGAAGAGTTCTAAAAAACCTCTTCCCACCCTTGTAAATCATGGTTTTCAAAACGGCTTCTCAAGTGATTCCAAGAGACCTCCAGGCAATATTGTTCCAGTAAGCAATTATACTCTTCATCAATAAATAATAATTGTAACTCTCTTGACCAGAAAAAAGTGGGAAAGAAATTGTTTTCATAAAATGAGCTTATAGAAATGATGAAACATTTCCAAATTTTTCCCATTGGAACAATTTGCTTTACAGTGAAATTGAAGTTGCACATTGCATAAAGTGTATCGCTCTAGTAAAAAGTATAATTGACTTCTATAATTTTCAGGAAAACAAAACCTCTAAGCTAAGTCAGGAGAGTAGCAACCAACCTCTCATTCTCACTACAGGAGCTTTCTCAGTTGAAGGTGGCATAGTTGATGTAAGTTTTTATACACTCAGGTTTTCAGGAGATTATTTGTCTTACATGCTCTTTCCAATTTAATTAACTATTTTTTATTGAATATCTTACTACTGATGATCCTGTGCAATATTGTATTCTAAATCTTTGCATGAAAATAATGGACTAATATATCATTTTTCATACTGAAAGCCTAACTACTGATGTTCCAGTGATGTTCTATTCCAAATCATTGTATGAAAAGAATGGACTTCATTCTTTTCATACAATGAATTAAAAGAATTATATCATTATTGTACTGTTAACTATCGTTGAGATTGTATGGTTAATAATTAACTACTTTTCAGAACTCAAGCGCGTCTGATTTGCCACCACATACTGTATGTGTTGTCTCTGCTTTTGAGCGCCCATCCAAGAAGCGCTTGGAAGAGACCTTCTCTCATTTTGGCAACATTATATCCATACTGCGGTACACTGCGTCGCGGCCTCCAGTTGCTTATGTTGCTTTCAAGACAGAATCTGCCCTCGATGCCTGTCTCAATTCCAAAACTGAGGTGAGCAAAAGCATGATTTTGTATCAAACATGGCAATTGAAGAAAATGGAAGCTGCGATCAATGTGTTTCAATTCCAAAACTGAAGTAAGTAAAGAACTGATTTTGTATCAAAGAAACTCGGCAAATATAATTTTGTGGATACGAATTACCTTCAGATGTATTTGTACTGTTGAAGTTCTGGTGTAGCCTATTTTTTACAAAATCACTCTCAAAAATAGGTGCTGTCATTGAAAATTTTGCCATGCAATATTTTAAGGCTTGGTGGAAAAAAACATTTAACCTTAAAAAATTTTGTACATAAACTATGTATCACATACACTAGACCTGCTTAACAATAGACGAATAAATGTATGAATTTTTTATCTCATGCTGTGCCATTTTATTCCTGTAGCTGATGGGAAGTAATTGCTCGCTCATTCGCTGTCATGGCAAGGTAAGTCTACATTATTTTACACTTGTCCAAATTTTTTATAAAGGTCTTTTTATTTCTCTATTTATGAACTTTTCTTTTATTATGATTTCTGTACAACTTTTCCTTAATTTCATTATGAGTTTTTTCTATTAATTGACATATTAAACAAGGTTTGTCATGTTTCCTTGTTATTGTACAGTTTTTTATGGCAATAATGGTTTTGTTTTGTAATTTGTTCCATACAGTACCTTACTTTTAATTATTTTTCACCAGAAACTGACTGAAACGGAAGCTCAGGAAGCCTGTGGTCAAAGATTCTTACAATTCTTGAAGTCGAGTGGCAAGAAGAATAAAAAGTAAACAAAATAAAAGTTAAATAAATCATTACCAGTCGCATCGATTTTTAGCAATAAAGAGTTAATCAGTTGTTAATATTCAGTGTCACTCAACGACAGCATGGAAATCCCTCTCAACTCAGTATCTCGGCCCATAAGCAACTCGATATCAACAGTGGCATGTTCAGAGTCAAACAATGTTCACACTGAGCACAGTGATGCCATGGTGGTACAAAAAATTCCTTCAAGGAAAGAAGACTCGAGCATCAAGATTGTTCTGCTAGGCGATGGCAGTACGGGAAAGACGAGCTACGTAGCGCGCATCAGCAGCGAAGGATTTCATTCTCAGTACGTGGCGACCCAGGGATACGAAACAACACGCGTGCTTGTGAGCACCTCTCAGGGAGACATGGCTGTTACGTTGTGGGACACAGCAGGGCAAGAGAAAGCCGGTCCACTTAGAGATCATTATTACCAAGATGCCCAAGGCGCTATTCTGTTCTTCGATGTCACGTCTAAAGTTACTTATAAAAATATTCCAGAGTGGCATAGAGATATCACTAGAGTGTGTGGCGATATTCCTGTTGTGCTTTTCGCAAATAAAGTTGATGTGGCTGAAAGGAAAGTCAAAGGTAAGGCTATTAGCTACCATAAAAAGCATCCTCAGCAGATGATTTTAGTGGAAGGAAGTATTAAAGACCGACTTAATTTAAAATTGCCTATCGAGTTCCTATTGTGCCATATTACCAAGAACAGCGAACTCAGTTTACGAACGTCGTTAGATTCTTCTCTTTATGCTGCTTTTGAAGCCATCGAGATGGAATAGGTCTCGCCTCCTCTATATAATCTCAGCAAGAATCTTCTGTACTTGATAAGTTTATATTTTCACACTCACTATTTTGTCACTCGTGCATGCAGTTCTAGACATCAATTATATTTTGAATGTTACAGAACCAGTAAATAAATGTGCTGTCGAGCATAGTTTTTGGGCGATTCTATTCCTTCTTGAGTAGGTATACGTTCAGGGTCATTTAATTCAGCTTGTAAAATGCGCGAATTGGGTTGGTGATGATCAATTCATATTCTAATTTCCTGATGATTCGAACGTTATGTTTTCAATGTTCGAATTAAATGGGGACATTTTCCTTGGAGTTCAATTAGTTAGAATTATATGCATCGATAAATCGTTAGCGTGAAAAACAATTGCCTTCATTAACGCTTGTCAACTTATTTCAGTTTAAATTTCAGCCCTCAATAGTGATGAATGAGCTCGTATTCTAATTTGTGAGCACTGGGCAATGTAGCAGTATTTTGATAAAAGAAATTCTAGAACTTTCAAGAAGCTTCGCCCACATGATTTTTTTTTCATTAGCTTCCAGAACTTTTCTAGAAGCTTCGCTCACCTGATTAGAGTTCGCTCACCCTCTAGCAATTTCCAGAACTTTCTAGAAGCTTCGCTCACCTAATTTTTTTTCTTTAGCTTCTAGAACATTCTAGAAGTTTCGCTCACCTAATTAGAGTCCGCTCACCCTCTAGCAATTTCCAGAACTTTCTAGAAGCTTCGCTCACCTAATTTTTTTTTCTTTAGCTTCCAGAACTTTCTAGAAGCTTCGCTCACCTGATTTTTTTTTCTTTAGCTTCTAGAACTTTCTAGAAGCTTCGCTCACCTAATTTTTTTTCTTTAGCTTCTAGAACTTTCTAGAAGCTTTGCCCACCTGACATTTTCTCTAGCTTCATTTTAAGTATGCGGATTTTGCCTAGCTGTAATTTGAAGACAAATATTTGAAGACAAATACATTCATTGTAATTTGAAGATAAATATTTGAAGACTAATACATTCATATTGAAGGGTATTTTTTAGGCATAGCCAAATATTCTGAGAAATATTTGAAGTAATTTATAAATCGGATTGATATCGCTTGTGCAGATAGGTTCTTAAAAATTGCGAATTGATCTCGTCTCGAGTCACCACATATTCTTAGAGGCGTAAGCTAGAATTAGGTATATAGTGTAGGTCAGACCAGTTAAGCAGCTGCATTAGGATTAGTGTATGATACACGTAAAATAATTTATAAATATATTTTCTATTCATTCATCCGGATCTGTTTCGCTACTTTCCTTGCATGCGCTCGGACTCAATCTTACTAGGATAGGCGGCAAGAAATGAATATTTGACTAATTTTAAAATGAATCGCTCCTAGTCTTAATTTAATTAAAGTCACTCATAGAAGTCTTAAAATAGTAGGACAAATTACCCACAAGAAACAATAACAGGAAAAAATCTCGCAACTGTTGAAATGTATCAAAATTTGTGAGCAAAAAAAAAAAAAAGAGTAAGCTGAACTATAGACATTAAATCAGCACTACATATATAATGATCTTTCTGTGATATTGTTGATTTGAATTTTGGTGGGGATTTTAACCTTATCGTGACGAGTCAAGAGGCTTCGTATAATGATTAAGTATCTCCAAGAACCTGTTCCATATAAACTGAACTGGGGGTCATAAATTTGTGATAATATTAATTAAACTCAAATTAAGCAATGTTGTGGAAAGGGTCAAAAAATATAAATAATGAAATTCTAAGGACCATGCGCGAGAAATGAGTTGCGAGTTTGCCCGAACTGTACATTTTCTCGACTCGTGTTAGACTGAATTGCACTTTGATAACAAGGCACGTGTAACCACAAATAGAATATTTTTTAAACATCGTCGCCACTAAGAAAAATTATAACAGGATACGTATATATAAAGACTCCATTAATGTATGGAAACGACACGAAAACTTCAATCAAATGAAAGCTTCAACATCGTAACACAATGACGATACCAACTCAAGTCTCGTCAATAGTAACAAAGGCTTAGTTTATGTTAGCCAACAAGGCTTCTAATGAAACGAGTTGAATGGCACTCGATGGAGTTGAAGTTAAGAAATTATAAGTCGTGCAGTATTCCGTCTAGTGAGACACCACTGATTACTTACTATCAGTGGAATTGGGTTGCGCCAACCATGAAGCGCGATACAAAAATATAATATCTACCTGAAGCCTATATTGCTGACGAAGAAAATGCATTTCGATTTAAAAAAAAACTGTACAGATGTTCGGCCATTATTTTTGTTTCTGCTTTTTGTTGCTGGCCCTGATGATGGCTTCAAGAGCGTCCCACTCCTCAGGCTTGACGCGCTGGAGGACGTTGAACTCGCCCGCTAGGAAGGGGTAGCAGCCACCGTCGATGGCTATGCTCTGGAATATCACGCAGTATATACAATATATTTATGGGGGGATAGATTCCGTGCCTGAAATTTTGTATAAAAAATGCAGTCTTTTCGGTAACCACTATACCTATTAACTGCAGTATTCCTTTTAACTGCATTATTCCTATTAACTGCATTATGTTACTAACTCGTCACATGCAATCTTTAACACGAATATTCCCAGCAAAATTATTTTTCCTGAGGATGGTTCCGATGAAGACATGTAGTGACGTATATTACCTAAATAATAAAGCTTTGTTTAGTGAGTTTTGTTCAATTTTAAGAAAGTTATGTATTAACGCTTTAATAATTGGTCGTCAATACAGGCATCTTAATATGCAGAACCCCTCAGATCACCTCAAACATAGTACCTTACCAGATGCTGTCCAAAACAGTACTCCACACTTTTTTTGAAACGCATCCTTAGTAACTGAAATTCATTCAAACAGAATCTCACAGATACCCGCAAAGGTATGATTACTGAAACATGGAACCTCATAGATCCCGTCAAACACAACCCCATAAGTTCAATTCATTACAACCCCACAGTCCAATTTAGACACGGAACCCCACAAAACAGATTCCATGAAAAAAACGGAAACCCACAGTCCCATTCAAATATTCAACCCTAGAGAACCAACAGACCCCATCAAAACTGTCAGGTGACAATGTTGATACCATTTGTCCCTGGATATCTCCTCATTAATATCTTCCTCGTTGAAAGATAATCTCCTTCACTGCGATATGTTCATAAACATTTCCTTGTATTAGCCTTCCCTGTTTATCAAGTCAGGCCCTTGGTGACGTCAAATAGCGAAGCTATATAAGCTCTGCCTAGACGCGGAAACGCCAGTCTTGGGCCAAGAACAGTCGTGTGTAAGCCCGTGCTCCTGTCCTATCAATCAGGATATTAAACCTAAATTAACGTCAGAGTTCCGACATGTAGGTACTCAAGACATATCCTAATCTCAACTGGACGCCGAAGACGTCAATGTTAAAGCTCCAACTTATAAACTTAGATCATCCTAGACTGTAAGCCGAACTATAATCCTAAAGTATATTCAATAATCGTTTACGCCGTTCCTCTATAATCTATATCCTCGGGTCCCGCTAAACCTAACCAACCCTCAGGTCATATTTAATTATCATTCATTTAAGAAGCGCACGTTATAATAACCCTCACACAAAACCTGAATCCGACAGATCTTATAAAAGCCAGAAAACCGCAGATCCACTCAAACACAACCTCAAAGTTCAAATAGAACAGAAATAATCCCACATATTCTCTTAAAGAGTGAACATTCCAGATCCACACAGAATCTTATAATTCAACTCAAACAGGACCCCAGAGCTGCTGTAGAATCACTGTGTGAAATCAACACACAGAATCCCATAAATACCATCAAAAACAGGTTCCCGCTGATCTCGTCAATAACAGAATCATAAAGGTTGTATCCAAAACAGATCCTATCAAGCATAGAACCTTACAGATCATATCCAAAGCAGATCTCACCAAAGCCAGAACCCCGCAGATCCACCAATGCAGAACCCAAAAGACCCCATCACAAACAGAACCTAGCAGATCCCTTCAATAGCAGAGCCATACCGATCGTATCCAATGCAGATCGCACCAAACAGAACCCTCGAGATCTAAGATCTCGAGCGCTCATAAGATCTGATAGGATATTAAGAAACCTCACAGATCCACCAATACAGAACCCCACAGACCCCACCAAAAACATAACCTAGCAGATCCCTTCAATAGCAGAACCTAACAGATCCCTTCAATAGCAAAGCTATACCGTTCGTATCCAACACAGATCGCACCAAACCAGAACCATCGATATCTCCTAAGATCTCGAGCGCTTTTAAGATCTGATAAGATCTTAAGAATCAGATCCCACCTCCCCGGAGATCCACCAATACAGAACATCACAGACCCCTTCAATAGCAGAACCTATCAGATCTCTTGAATAGCAGAGACATACCGATCGTGTCCAACACAGATCGCACCAAAGGAAAACCTTCGAGATCTCCTAAGATCTCGAGCGCTCTTAAGATCTGGCAAGATCTCCCAAGAAGCAGATCCCACCTCCCCCGAGATCCACGAGGAGTAGTCAGACACGAGGAAGCAGGCGAGGTTGGCGATCTCCTCCACCTCACCCAGACGGCCGGCGGGGATACGCTTGTGCGCCTCGTTCCTAGGAACAATATATTAGCCATTGAATTAATGAGGTTCATGAATATTTACACGAAGCTGCCCGAGGGGATCCAGCAGTCACGCCACTCACACGAAGCTGCCTGTGGGGTCCAGCAGTCACGCCACTCACACGAAGCTGCCCGAGGGATCCAGCAGTCACGCCACTCACACGAAGCTGCCCGTGGGGTCCAGCAGTCACGCCACTCACACGAAGCTGCCCGAGGGNCCGTGGGGTCCAGCAGTCACGCCACTCACACGAAGCTGCCCGAGGGATCCAGCAGTTACGCCACTCACACGAAGCTGCCCGTGGGGTCCAGTCTGCTGAAGGCGCCCTCGGTCTCTACAGGCCCGGGCGCCAGGCAATTGAAACGCAGGCCGTACCGCCCCCATTCCGAACTCAGTGATCTGCACGGTCATAAATATGTGAGTGAAATATTCATACTAAAGCGGATTCAATAAGCAATTTGCATTCTCATGAATATCTTACGAGAAATATGCGTGGGAGGATTGAGAGATCAATCTGCCGGTTCATGAGTATTTTTGAGAAACGTGGGTAATTCAAACCTGAAATTTTGGGCCAGCTTAGAAGATATTGAATTTTTAAGAGTAGAAAAAAATTATTTTACCGAATAGAAACTCCAAAGATTGGATACAAATAGCGTTTCAGACTGCATCATTACGGCAGAATACAGTAAAAAATCAAATATTTTTCAATTTCAATCGTAAATAGGCAATACTTGCTGTTCAGCAATCTAAATTCTTAAACAAAGATAAATGATTGTCAAGTCGTACTTTAATGGCAAGACATAACTCATAATCAGGCTTTAATATCATCAAAAATAGTTGTAAACATGCGTGAAGTAACATTTTATACATAAATAATATATGATAGTTTAGTCCTATCTCGACTGCAATGCATCGTTAATACCCATAGAATAATATAAATAATGAATCATGCAGTGCAATGATAAGTGCGTTCATCATAACATCATAATTTTTACGATCATTAAGCCTTGTAACGAATGTTGGTAGAGGCGTATTCACGATTGCAAAGCATAATTAGTATTCGTAGAACAACATATCACGAATTCCTGCAATGAAGTGATTAATAAGGTGCGTTATATATGACAGCTAAAAAATAAAATGCGTTATTCATGACAGTTGATTAATAAAATGATTAATAAGCTGCACTATCTATGACAGAATTCTAACTAATAAAACGATTAATAAGCGTTATTTATGACAGTTGACTAACGATTAATAAGCTGCATTATCTATGACAGTTGACTAACGATTAATAAGCTGCATTATCTATGACAGTTGACCAATAAAACGATTAATAAGGTGCGTTATCTATGACAGTTGACTAACGATTAATAAGCTGCATTATTTATGACAGTTGACTAACAATTAATAAGCTGCATTATCTATGACAGTTGACTAATAAAATGATTAATAAGCTGCATTATCTATGACAGTTAACTAATAAAATGATTAATAAGGTGCGTTATCTATGACAGTTGACTAATAAAATGATTAATAAGCTGCATTATTTATGACAGTTGACTAATAAAACGATTAATAAACTGCATTATTTGTGACAGTTGACTAATAAAATGATTAATTAAGTGCATTATTCATAATAAGGTGCGTTATTCATGACAACCAGTTGATAAACAAAATGATTAATAAGCTGCGTTATTTATAACAGTTGTACGCCCACTTGCTCATGGCCTCAACGCCGGCCTTAGCAGCAGCGCTGGGGCACACGAAGCCTGTGCCGGAGCGCGTGTATGGCGTCGTGATGTTCAGGAACGCAGCGCCTGTCATCAACAAATACGTAATTAAATTAAAAGTTATATTTACTTATTCATACTAATTATAATTAATAATATAAAATATTTACTCTAGAAAATTTTTTTTAATAAATAGAAAAATATATTTCAATCTGTAGGACTAAGATTGAAATATTAATTCCTCAGTTTAGTAATTTTAGAACCAATAATCTTTCTGTAGAACTGAGACTCGTAAAGCCAATGCATCCCCAGTGATAGCCCCGCTTTGATATCCTCAGAAATCACAGCAGATCCTCGCAAAACAAAGAAGGAAGTCGGGAAACCTGGGTACAAACCCATATTATGTTTGTCTTACATTAATCAATAACACTGCTTGTGAATTTTATTGTAAATTTCACGTAATAAAAATTAATAATAATTGATATAATATAAAATATTAATTCACAGAAAAATCAAATTTACATAAGTAAAACAATCAATTAATAGTGTTAAATAGTAAATTATGCTTTAAAAAGAACATCATACCAACCACGCTTAGAGGGGAAAGTGGCACCGTTGTAGAAAATAAAATAATTTAGTGCCATACTTACCAGTTTAAATAATCTACCTCACATAGAACAATACAATAAGAGATAATTAAAGACTAAATAAAAATAAAATAATTTTATCCCATACCTACGAGCTTCAATAATCTACAACACATAGGACAATACAATTAAAAATAATTTAAGATACTATTAAATAAATGGTTGCCATACGTACGAGCTTCAATAACCTACCACACATCGAACAGTAAAAAAAAGTAATTAAAGACAATATAAAACAATTGGGTCTCGGGTCTACGAGCTTCAATAACCTACCACACTCAGAACAATACAATAACAAATAATTAAAATCAATATAAAATAATTGGGACCCATACTTACGAGCTTCAATAACCTACCACACATAGAACAATAAAATAACAAATAATTGAAGACAATATAAAATAATTTGGTCCCATACTTACGAGCTTCAATAATCTACCACACATTGAACAATACAATAACAAATAATAAAGACAATATAAAATAATTAGGTCCCATACTTACGAGCTTCAACAATCTACCACACATAGAACAATACAATAACAAATAATAAAGACAAAATGTAGCACAATTATCGTCAAGATGGCCACCTTGCTGCGCTTTAATAAGTCGTTTGCCAGCTTCGATGGTGACGTTTGCCGTGCCGTTCAGGACGATGTCTGTGATGGTGCGCCACGCATTGGCGCTCAGACGCTCTGTCGGCTAAAGTTACACAGTTAGAAAAATTACCGTTAACGGTATTACGGGCGTTTCAGTGGCTGGTCGGACGTGAAAAGAAACACCGTATTGTCGTTTTTATTCTAATTTAACACTAGAAATCCGTAAAACATCTGATGAAAACGGCGAAACAGTTAATTTTCACGGGGCGACTGGCCACTAGAACGCCAGTGGAACCGTTTTTTCTAACAGTGTAGTAGGATTTTACACTAAATAACTGTAGATTAGATTCTGTTGTTAGATTAGTGGATTAGTAAGTAAATTTAGACCTAATAACCGTATATTTTGATTAAGATTTATTATTGAAATTATATGAACAGAGAATTTTAGGTCATACTCCGCTCTAGTGGTATTGTGAAGACATTTCCTAATAACTGTAGATTTTGTGTTTAGATTAGTAGGTAAATTTAAAAAGACAAGGTTGGAGTCTTAAATGGTATGAAATATGGGAGCGACTTGACGGTTAAACTTAATGACCGGAGATTTTGATAATGATTTCTTATTGAAATTTTATGACTAGAAAATGTTAGTTCATAGTTCATACTCCCCTCTAGTGGTATTGTCAAGACATTTGTTCATTTCAAGAGATAAGCCAAGTCTGCGTGATTACACGAGAAGTCTTACAATTCACGAGTTAACAATCTATGATTTTTAATCAAACCTCCAAACAACTAAAAAATCTCCATACCCAAAATTGTACTGTAATTATATAAATGTTATATAATCCCTGCAAGCCTACAAAGGAGCACTTACAAATAAAAATTATGAAATTAGTTTGAATTTGAAATTTTGAATTTATTTTAATTATAAAATTTGTAGAAATGTTCCAAGTTTTATAGAAATAATGCATCACGCAAAGAAATAAACATCAGCGTCAAAATTAGTTTTAACTCATAGTGTTATGCTTTACTCGTGATTGACGGCACATAGAGTGCAGGTAAAGTTTTTGGGCTTTATAGAATGAATGAATTTAAGTGGAGAATTACTTTAATTCAATAGTTATGTTTTTTTTTGAATATAAAAGAAACAACATCTAACCAAACTACACAACTGTGTTTGATGTATGGTCACACAATCATAACTCATAACTCATAACTCATGGCGATGATATACAGTGGGGGGAAATAAATATTCGTACACTTGAAAAATCGTATTTTAATGTCTGTAAGTACACAAACTTAACAGGAAAAGTAATTTAAATTATGTATAGAGACGCATAGTTTTCAAAAATACTATCGAAAGAAATTAAATCTCAATGCAACAAAAAACAATGCAACATGTTCACTTCTTCGGGTGAAAAAAGTATTCGTACAAAACAATAAATCCGCATTATTTTAATTTAATACTTGGTTGAATACCCTTTATTCAGCTCAACAGATACCAGTCTATTTCTATACGTCTCGACCAATGATTTGCAGATGCTGACTGGTATTTTATACCATTCTTCTTGGCACACCACCTTAAGATTCTCAATGTTTGTTGGGGACCTTTTCTTAATTTGAATCTTCAACTTAAGGTGGTGTGCCAAGAAGAATGGTATAAAATACCAGTCAGCATCTGCAAATCATTGGTCGAGACGTATAGAAATAGACTGGTATCTGTTGAGCTGAATAAAGGGTATTCAACCAAGTATTAAATTAAAATAATGCGGATTTATTGTTTTGTACGAATACTTTTTTCACCCGAAGAAGTGAACATGTTGCATTGTTTTTTGTTACATTGAGATTTAATTTCTTTTGATAGTATTTTTGAAAACTATGCGTCTCTATACATAATTTAAATCACTTTTCCTGTTAAGTTTGTGTACTTACATACATTAAAATACGATTTTTCAAGTGTACGAATATTTATTTCCCCCCACTGTAACTTCAATGCACGGCTACACAATTTTATTTATTTTCACCTACACTTTCATTTGTCCACAAGGTCACGGCAGTGCAGCACTCACAGATATGAAGTTGCCAGCAGCGTTGTTAATGACGATGCCAGGCAGACCAAATTTCTCCTCGCATGCCTGCATGGCAGACGCGACGCTGCCGCCCTCACGGACATCCATGGACAGCGGCAGCACAGCTCCCCCGGTGGCGGCGGTGATCACGGCCGCTGTCGACTCCAGCACCGGCAGTCGTCTGCGTAAAAGACGTCATCAGGAGATGCACTATCAAATATAAGTAGTGCACTATCAAATATAGTGCACTATCAAATATACCGTAGTTGAGAGCTTGCAATTCTGTTGAGAATTCAGTGACGGCTTTGCAAGCTCCGCGTGCAATCAGCGAAATGAAATGTGTATGAAGTTTAGTACCAAATTCTTAATAAAAGCAACTATTCATTATTCAAGCAAGATTTTACACTATCAAATAGAGTTCAGAACTTGCAATTCTGTTGACCATTCAGTAACTGATTTGCAAGCTTATCCCAACCAATCACAGGAGAGATATCTGCCGCTACATGCACTTAGGCTGTAGCATGTTCTTGGGCTGCAGTAGCATGTTCTTGTAGGTATATACTTGTGTTCTGAGTTGCAACAGTATGGAGGGGATTCAGGACTCTTAATCGGGTCCCAAGCAAAGAACAAAAGAAAGTGGTCATTTGACAATCAGTTTGCATACGTGATTTATGGAATATGGAAGAAAAAAAATGGCCAGCATCACTAATTGAAATTTACTCAGGGGAAGGTAAAATTACAAAATTGAAATATGAATCAATTTTAGGAGCATACGCAGAAAAAAGTTTTGGAAAATTTATTTGATTGATACAAAGGAACTTATACATAATGATAATTTGTGTTTTGGCAGTAGCCAGAATAAAAAATTTAGAATCATGAGACATTGATCAACCATTTAATTCAATAATGTTGAGTAAAATACAACATAAATCACAAAATTAAACAGATTTTTGACAGAGTTTTTATGATGTAACAATGTCAGAAAATGAAGTGAACATTTTGTTTCCACAATGATATGTTCATAGTCTAACTTCAAGGTATTATGAAACCCTAGAAACATATTAAAATAATTTTTTCATAAAAGATTTTTGATTGAAAATCAAGTCTACATTGACCAAAGTCAGTCAGCATAGTTTTTGAAATTAAATTTATGGATTGATTTGTTACCTGGCAGCAATGACGACATTAGCTCCAAGGCTGCTGAGCATCAAGGCCATGCCTCTTCCCAGACCAGTTCCTCCTCCTGTGATGAATGCTGTCTTGCCCTGAAAAAGACAATACAATTACTGAGTGCTGCCTAGAAGCCTTATATTGCTTTTAACCATCATATATAAAATGTATATCTAACACAATATGGTAAATATTATGTGTGAGCTACAGTAATATCATAATTGGCTCAATGAAATTAGTTGCAAATCAGTGCATAAATTGTTGCAAAAAATTATTATTAAAAAGTGCACAATGTACTAATGTAAATAATTTCATAAAACAAATTCCAGGAAAATTGAGGCCTTCCTCATCAGCATTTTAATAAAATTCTCAATACCAATTAGTTTTGACCATAATTGCTGAAAAATTAAAAACGTGATTCATTTAACATTCAAACAGTTAGTATTTACAGATAAAAATGTTCATTCCCAGCAAGACAGAAACTTGCATTGAAAGTTCCTGCAGGAAGCATAGGAGTTTTTACAGCAGGAAAATATTTGGCTTGGGGACCAGTAGGGCGACTGTCTGATCCATAAGCACAGCTGCAGTGGATGTTTCTTGTTGATGCCTTAGCCTGAAATGAAATTTAACAATGAATGTCAGTTGATATTTTTACAACACTTCTCTCTAACTTCACTTCTTGTTGTTTGTTTGTTTGTCTGTCAGCTACAAATCTTATAGGTAATCAATATTTAATACACTTCAATCGATCTTAAATTTTGCACAGGAAATGACACGGAAAAAGTTTATTTAGTTCCATGAAATTAAAATCCCTTGAGGCTTGAATTGCAAAAATTTAGCAATTATGTAAGAATGGTAAAAACTCCTACTTCTCCCTACAAAAAACTCCTACAGCTTCCCTGATTACGTTTTTGAAGCTCCGAGTATAGTGCATTCAAGAACATACTAGATAAAGCTATGAAGAAATATATACCTATTCAAACATGAAACACCTAGCACCATATTGAAGCTCTATTGAAGTCTAGCAGCTATTTCAACTATCTTCAGTTTTGAAAACGTCCAGTCAAACGACCTGTTTTTAGATCTGCGTACACAGCAAAAAAGTACATGAATCAGAGACTGGCCACATCAGGCCTATTCTTCTGTGCCACATCCCTATTGACCCTAAGATATGATATTTGAGCATAGAAAACATTTGTTTTAGGGCGCCAACTAGAGTTTCAACACCATCTATGGAACCATTAAATTTCCTGCTAGGCTGCTAGAAGTAGAAGGTCTACATGAATTATCTCCCATCTAATTATTCCCAAAAGCACATGATCGTCCATACTGAGTATACCTATTACTGACAAACCAAAGATTTTTATCAGTTCATTTTTAATTTTTTTCATTTACTCGAGATTTAAACCAATTTGTTATGTATGATAATTCTAGTACCGTAGTACGTATCTATAATATTTTACAGGTCTACTTATAGGACTCAAAAATGAACTTGAAGGAGTCAGGGAGAAGCTAAAAAAGTCTTTGACACCATGATTATCAGGCTGCAGGTCCCAAATATATTGAAAATTAGTCTTGTTGGACTTGGAGCTACAAAATAAAAAAAATATAACTCAGTACTCACTGCAGTGAGTGACAGAGAGCGCATTTTCTTGTCAACAAAAACTTTATGTCATGGACAGATGGACGGACAGACAGACGGACATGGCAAGCACAATAGTGCATTTTTTCCATAAATGAGAAATGCGCTAAAAACTAGAAAATTCCAATCCAGCAGATATCAACTTTCCCTCTCTGCACCTGGCAAGCTGGCTGGCCTGGCATAATGGCATATGGAAACTTTGGAAAGGGCAACATGATCCAAATTCCAATAATAACTTACCTGTGCATTCAGTCTGTCTAACAGTATGAGTGGAGACTTTGGAGTGCTTATCAAGCTCACATATCCAAGACGGTTGAAGGCTACAAATAACACCATTTTTTCAGAAGATTGGGTGATAGACAATGATCAAAACTTGCTCCTGCAGTAAAAAGAGCATATGTTTACCAGGTTATGATAATAGTCACAGTCACACAGTGCAGTGATAAAGTCCACAGAGTCAGGATGAGTTAGTTAGACATGAGAGTAATAGTTTGAAATGAATAAATGAACTTAGTGTGTGAGTGAACTACGTAGTGAAGGATTGCATTACAGATGATGATAAAATTTTCAAGGGGGCAAATGGGTTTTAAAGTCTTAACAATTTTCCATTTATGGTTTAACCCTTTGATGACCAGGCCTTTCAAACATGCTCTGTAGTAATATTACTGTAATGATAAGGTGTTTAGTATGCGTCCCTGCTTTGTTTTTGTGGTGCAACTCTACTCTTTGCCACCAACTAGGGGAGCGTCTAGGGTAAAATTTTGGATTTTATTGACTAATAAAACGATTAATAAGCTGCATTATTTATGACAATTGACTAATAAAACGATTAATAAGCTGCATTATTTATGACAATTGACTAATAAAACGATTAATAAGCTGCATTATTTATGACAGTTGAATAACGATTAATAAGCTGCATCATCTATGACAGTTGACTAATAAAATGATTAATAAGCTGCATTATCTCTGTCTCTTATACACATCTAGATGTGTATAAGAGACAGCAAACATGCTCTGTAGTAATATTACTGTAATGATAAGGTGTTTAGTATGCGTCCCTGCTTTGTTTCGGTGGTGCAACTCTACTCTTTGCCACCAACTAGTACAGTGTCAGACTGAGATTCTGCGTCTCAGTCTGACATTGCCGAACATGTCTCTGCTTCTGAGTCTGCCTTAACTGAATGTGCCTCAACTGAATGTGCCTCAACTGAATGTGCCTCTGCTTCTCAGCTAGACTTCGCTGAACATGACTCTGCTTCTCAGCCAGATTTCACTGAACATGTCTCTGCTTCTCAGCCTGACTTTGCTGAACGTGCCTCTGCTTTTCAGTTAGATTTCACTGAACATGCCTCTGCTTCACAGTCAAACTTCAGTGAACATGTCAGTGCTCAACAGGTCCCTGAAGAATGCGAATCCTCTCTGCATTCTCCAGTTGAGTGAGTTGACGTAGTTTCTTCATTTCAACGAGACTCTGTTCCTTCCTCTTTGGCTGAAATGAAGTGTTATCAGAAGTCAATTGATGGATTCGTCCGGTCAATCGTCAGTAACCAATCACTTAATGAAGTACCTTGAAAAATGAAGCCTGCTTCATCCACATGGACACTCGATCAAATTGGAGAAGCCGTTTTGGATGTCAAAAGCACACTAATGAAAATTATACCTACGAGCCATCAAGGAAGTCCTGCGCTAAAGGATAGTTCACCTTCAACCGGCGCATTGCCTAAATGTCAGAATCTGAATGAGGTTCTTTCTACTGAATTGTTCACTATTGTACAGCATCAAAATGAGCGTTAAATACGATGTTCAGCATGCCATAAGTACGCCACACGTGATGAGCTTATTACCAAATTTTTGACACAGTTCAAACTTCCCTCCCACTGTGCAGAGAGTGGATGAATATTGCAAGATCTTTGGCGACGCTTCAGTAGCAGCATTTATGCCTTCAGAAGATCTTGCCAACACATTTAGATTGAAATTCTTGCATTTAATATATTTGTCAGTCTTCGGCCAACTATTTAAAATAAAGGAAGATTTCCGATATGTTGGATGGATCAGCATGCAGTGAAGCTTGTCCGGAAATCAGTTGCGATGAGTTCCCGCCAAAAAAAAGTAAACATCAAGCTTACGATTACGTAGTTGCGATCACATTAGAGCGGTCAGACTTCATTATCACATGTTCAGTTGACACTTGCTGTACAATTGGACTGTTTTTAGGGTAAAATTAGTTATTTGGGGTAACACGTGCATGCAACCTTATAAATAAGTTCGTGGCTTGTAAATAGTTTTTCATTACTCAGTGTAAATGGCTTTTCATTAAAAATTACCTGGCGACGCATCTTAAAATTACCCGGCGACGCTTAGGGCTTAAAAACCCATATATTGGCGACGCTGCATCCACCCTCTGCGCCCTGGCTTCCCTCAACTCTCAAGCGGCTTATCTGTTAGGGTCTCTCTTGCAGAAGATAAAATAGAGGATTTCCAAATAGGTCACAGCCAAGCCTGCTGCCTGGTACAATTTCAAAAGTCGCCTTGTGATCCTGGGACAACTGGAACTCCGTCGATGATTCGTTCTGTTTCTGTAACTGAAACTCTCTGCCGTACAGCTATCCATAATCCAAGTTTTGAAAATGAAGGGTGCCGTGGTGAGTTTGGCCCAACATCAAGGATGGTGGACCATGGAAAAACTCTAATTTTATTTGAAAAATTCAACCTCGAATACCTAATCGGCTAATCCTAAGGCATTTTTGCACTTTTTGACAAGTTTTTGTTGCTAGGCCTAGCCCTCTGGGAAACTTAATGTATAAAATGATAATTAACTATGCCAGCTATAGTTTGCAGTAGGTACTAGGTAGGCCTAGGGCGTAGCCCGGGTCTCGTAAGTCGTAGGACCAACTCTAGGTCTAGCCGTCTGGCCGGTCTGGGGTCTAGGCTACCAAGTCGGTAACAGACGGTAAGACGGGTAAGTAAGAGTGTAAGACCAAATGGACTGAAATGTCGCCCTACATTTTTTTAATATACAATTTTCAATATTCCATAGTCATCTATACAATACTTAGTGACTGTAATCACTGGAAGTTAGAGAAAATATTTTTTACGTGCTATAAAAAATGTGATCATTAAAGGGTTAAACAGATTTTTGGAAATCTTCTTCTTCTTCTTCTTGTTACTTCTTATAGGAGCACTGGAAACTGGTCCATTTAGCCCCTTGCCTAAACAGTTTTTGGTTTATGCCTAACTATCATTTAGTAACAATC